GATTGATCTATTTTCCATTTGCAAATCGTTCAGGCAGAACTAGGTCTGTGAGAGTGAGAAAGTCTAGTAAGGTGTGGACTCAAGCTGGACAACACAGTTAACAAAAACAAATAACTTTTTTATTTGATTATCATCCAGAACAAAGCTCCTACTGTGATTTATAGGAATTCTATGTAGCTTTTACTGAGCAACAGCGACCTCTGCAGCCACAAGTGGTAATTTATTCTGTTGGCTCTGATGATTCCTGTCTTCCTGAATCAGAAGAGCTGCATGCTGAATCAAATACACCAAACTCAGAATTTTTTGTATTTTAAAGGTTTTCTTGCTGAATATCAAAGATAAACGCTGGGACTGATTCTGGCATTTAAAGCTATCAAGCTGCTTTCAAGATCCCATTCATGTGTGAAAGGCAAATATCGGAGAAAGTCTGGATGCCATTGTGCGGACCTTCTCCGGATGTCACACAGATCATACCTGCTCACGAAAGTTACATACAGCAAGAAGTGATAAGTGCATCATTCTCCCTGTTGCAGGTCAGTAAACCATCAACCTAATCTACTATTTCAAAGTAAAACATTGCATGATGCTTGAAGGATGGTGTTGCTGAATGAATCTTCTGCCCAAATGGATGAAAACAAACAGACATGCAAGAGGCAATCCCAACATGCAATGTGTCCGTATTGTTGGCTTCATTGCTTAAAAGTGCACTTAATCAATCATCAGTAAGGACGGCAAACAGACATAACAAACTGCTTTTCTCTCAGCTTATCACACTTCTTTGCTCCTCTTAAGGCAGAAAGTTAATTGGTGTTGTATTTGTAGCCCAGAGGCATGGGGGAGATTTAACCTGCCGTAACAGGCTTTTAGGGTTAACTGAGCTATTAAACAAGAGCTGACAAAAAATAATCTAGCCTAAAGCAGCTGAAATATTGAGTTGCAAAGATGTCACACATAAAACATTAAAGCAAGAATGACCTCAACTTTTAACACTTTAAACAAAACAGGCTGAACAGCCATAAGCTCCTAAATGACACAGTACAACACCCTATGCTGCCTCCTCTGCCGTCTTTCTATATGAGAGAACCTGATCTGCCCCTCCGCCTGCGTTGCCGTGGATTTGGTGCTAGGATGTGGTGGTTGTTTGAGCAGGCGCAGCTGGAGGCGCCACACAGCATCCATCAACTCACTCACAATAGCAGCTGGCCTGGCAACACTACACAACTTAAGAATCTGCGGGATGTTTAAGAATCGCTCTGTGCAAATATCAGATGATCCATTCCAGGGAAGCACATCAGCATTTCCAAAGCAACTTTTGTTTGGAGCCTTTAATCCTTGAATTTGCTATGAAGAGGTGAAAATGTGCCTTTACTTAAGAACGCTTGGTATGAGCCATATTGAGAATGAATCACAGCAATTTATTTTTGATTTAGCTGAACCTAGCTCCTTGGAGAGGGAGCTAAATGTCAATAAATACCAAGCATCCATCATGCTGTGACTCTTTTCAAAAGGCAGTGTTCTATGCCAGAGTAACACTGGCCGAGTCCATTCACAGTTATGCCAGTGCTTTCTCATGTTAACATTTTTCAACCTCAAGGAGCAGAATTTCTGCAAGTGCTGAAAACTATCAAGATCTATCACAGTGAGGCTCTTCCTGCAGTTAATGATCAGCCCGTGCTCTGCATCGGATCTCTTTTATTGGTGTTTGCCTCTAGTGGAGGTTGAAAAGAGCACTGCAGCCACAGAAATGATTGAGACTACCTGTCCCTCCACATCTTTAAAATCTTGTTTTTGAAAACAGCACATTGACACCAGTGTTGGCCCTCATCCCCAAAAGCTCTCTTGACATCTATGTTGATGTCATCTACGTGTATGGTGCCACTTATGAATCCTGAGGTATTTGTATTCTTTTTGGGGTTTTTTTATTTTTGCAACTGTCACATGTTAAAAATGTCATCAACAGAAAGTCTCCAGAAAGTCCAGAGGCGCTCACTTAGATATTTGGGTTCACACATACAGCCCCTCTGGAGGCATGTGTGATTAAAATATCCATCATAACTAACAATTTACTTGAGGGGGTGCAGGCTATGCACAGTCATGCATTGTGTGTGTGTGTAAATGTCCGGAGGATCCCTGAGTTGAGTGAATGTCTGAAAGCAGCTTATTTCACTGCACTGATGGACAAGCAGTGAAGTGGTGTATTTTCCTTCAACCCCTCCTCTGCTGTGATTCAGAGAGCAGGCAGAGAAGTCAAGACCACGCACCCTATATAATTACACTTCTGTTCGCTGTGTGGCATTCCACTTATACTCGCTCTCTTCTTTCTCTCTCCTCCTCACATACAACATGGATCACACTCCGCTCAGTATCTCTGTGAGGCAGCCCACTGGTCTGTGCTCAAACCAGGGCTCAGGTAACAGGGTATGACTCAAAATTGAGGGTAACCTGAATCACACAATACCACTCAGCCCTAACTCAAGGGAGTGGGAGCACAATTGGAGGTCTGTTCTTGCTCTGCAGCCGGCTTTACACACTGGGTCTAAGCGATAAGCCGGCATAAACAGGGATACAGGTGAAATGTGGCTCCTTGCAGTGTGGAGAATAACATACCAAATGCTGCTGTGCAATTGGTGGTATTATTCCACAAACTGCATATTGTATTACCCAACTCTTTATCTACCAAGACAATGGCAATGAAAAAAAGAACAGAAAATTACAAGGTCACTTTGAGGTTAATTGTGTCCTGGCAGCATATTTAATGTCCATAAATTAAAACCGCTGAAAAAAATGTATTGAATAAATCAAACTTTAATCATTTTATTGAATTAAATAGACACTATCACTCAATTGACCGGCAATTCATCTGCAACATATTTGATGATTGTTAATTGCAAGTAATTTTTTAAGCAAAAATGCCAAATCACAGATACTGCATGTTTGTTTTGCTGAATGTCTTAATCTTCTGTGATTGTAACCTCAATGTTGTTGGGTTTGGAGCATTGTTCAGACAAAACAAGCATTTTGTTGTGCACGGTAGGACAATATAGGTTCAGGAAAACTGCAATTGGCATTTTGACAGAAAGATTAATCAGAATAAGTGAAGCTGCTTTCTGCAGCCTCATTACTAAATGTTAAGTTTCTAAATGAATAACTGAGAATACATTTGATAATACGGCAGTCGATAGGGGAAGACAGAATAATAAAGCAAGAAACTCACAGGAAGTAACCTTCAAGACAGCTGCTGCAGATCTCAGGGTCGTCTGTGTGCAAATGAGAAAAGGTGATTAATTAAAATTCATGGTGAAACAAAAAAACAGCAATGTGCATAATTTTTTTCACTGAGGTTTTGACATACATTGTTGATTCCCCTCACTGTGCAGTGATGTTAGTCTGATACAGGAGTTTTATGAAACGTACCTGTGGAACACGTTTTACAGCCCATCTCACAGTCAATGCACTCTCCTGTATCAGGGTCCTGCACCTGCCCTGAAACACACGAGATCCACCATAAAGAGCCTGAGTGTCTCTCAATTTACAGCCTATAGTCAGAAACTCTGTTTTAGATTTACCCGTGTTACAGGATGCCGTTTGGCAGACCCCATTCTGGAGTTTGTAGTTTTCCCGGCATTTGGCACATATGTTGCCATCTGTGCAGAGTTCACAATTGGTGATGCAGGGCAGGCAGGCATAGTGACCCCTGTCAGGATAGAGTCCCCGGGGGCAATGTGTTCGACAGCGACCTTGGTGGAGGAAACGTTCCTGTCCATCTTCATCTGAGGAGGAGGAGGAAGAGGGGGGCACAGAGGACTTGTTACCATACAGCCTGTTCATTTTCTCCTCTGATTAGGATGCCATTGACCATGTGGAACTCCTGCAATGCTTTTATAAAACTGAAAATCAATGAGCTTCTCTTAATAAATAGTGAGGTAGAGCTTGATGATTACATGGGATGGAGAAAAGATAAAAGAGCCTGCTGTCCGCAGTGTGAAAGTTCAGGGCCCAAAGTAAAGACACATATTGCAGAGATGTGGATCAGCACAATTATAACAATTATGAGTATTCATACAACATTTTACTGATCGTGCGTCCTTGACGGAAAAAACTGAAATTGTGGCAAAACGAGTGCATGTCAAACTCATGAACAGCATCATTAACTGATGGCTGCGGTCCAGCGTGTTGACTGCAGGGCCTGTAGATGACAACCTCGCCATGTGAGATCACCGACTGATGATGCTCCAAATAATGTAAACAAGGGCAGTCAGAGGCAGATGATGGATCAGAGCTGTGGGCAGAGACAGGGGCTTGTGTTGGTCCTGGTGATTAATATAGTGCCACTTGCCCCTAGCCTAGCTGTGGCACCTGAGGCACCTCTGGAAGCCGATGAGTTGCAGCATTGTCTCATCCACTCAGAAGATGTGTGAGACAGGGAAGAAACCTTTAACAGCACATACAGATAACTGTGGATTCTATATGACAACACAACACAGAGCATGAGGAATAGGGTGCAGATCTTTTTTTATGTGCCTTCACACAGGACATTGAACAGGTACACACACCAGGATCACACACTCTGCACAGAAATCTCAACAGCAGTGTACATTGAATAAGAATCAGCAAAAATGAATGTCTGTGGCTCAGTCAAAAAGAAAGGGATGTGTGGGTGAGGGACAGAGAGAAAAAGGGACTTACAGGTTCCATGGGTTGAGCCCAGTGAACTGCAACAGTAATACTTCCAGCCCGAGGGGATATTTTTTCCCTTTTTCCCTCAGATTAACAAAGGCCCCATTCTGACGTGATCAGATTACACGGGAGAAAATGATCACACCTTGATTTCAAAAGGTGCCCCTGTGACCCAAAAAAAAAAAAAATCAACAAGTTCTAGAGGCTGCACTCATGATTGTTTAAGAGTAAATGATAAACCAGAGCTGAATGCCACTCCTCTCATTTTAAAGCCTTTAAACAACTTTTCTTCCAGTACAGTGTTGCTTTGAAAGGAAAAACTCCACCTCCCTTTCAAATGGATTAAAGAATATTTGACAGGGTTTTGTTTTAATCTGCCATCAAAGGGGACATTATATCAGCCAGTGGCCATAAATGAAGAGACAGACACATGAAATCCATCGTATGAGGATAAAAATGTTGTAAAGCCTTGCTGATTTATTTGTTGCTGGAAACTAAACAAAAACACATTTTTGAAACCCTATCAAAAGCATTATATTATATTATGAGCCCCCTATGATTAAAATATCCATCATAAGCTACAATTTACTCGAGGGGGTGCAGGCTATGTATGCACGGCCATGCATTTAGGGTTGAAAGTGTGTGTGTGTGTGTGTAAAATAATGCTCACCAACTCCACAGGTAGTACATTCAAACAGCTCATGTCCGACGCACTCGGAGCAGGTGGGATGACAGAGGACACACTGGCTCTTCAGCATGAACCGTCCGCTCGGACAGGAGGGCGACGAGGCTGGTTTACCCACAATAAACCCCGCAGAGCAGAGGACGAGCAGCAGACAGGCGATCACCGACCTCATGGCTGTGCCCGAAGACTTTGGCTTGAAGTGAGGCGGAGAAACAAAAAACAGGTTTGTCCCCAAAGAGACGCAGTGTCCGTGCAGCAGCCTGAGCAGCAGCAGTGCTGGTCCCTCCTGATCCTCTGCGCTGCCAGCTCGATATGTGAAAGGCTACACCACACACCTGCCCAGAGAATAACTCGCAGGACCAGTTGGTCCGAGTGGAGACTGAACAATGAACGTGGACTGCGGTCAGCAGCAGCATTCAGCAAGTGATCCTGAAAGGAGTCCAGGAGCGAACAGCCACTGTCTGTGTCCCCGAACATCACAGTGTCTGCTTGCAAGGAGCGTCTGATGCCAGTGAATGAAAACAGGGAGGCTCCTGACCAAACACACTTTGACAAATATACCACCTGGAAATCTATAATATCTGGGAGGGGGAAAAAAAACATTTAAAAACTATAACAACCGGAAAACCAAAACCCCTGAAAGACCAACACACATGGAAAACCAAAAGACCAGGGACAAACATACTACCTGGAAATCTATAACACATGGTAAACCAAAACAGCAAGAAGACCAACACACCTGAAAAAAAAAAAACACTTGGAAAACTTAAACAACTGAAGACCAACACACATGGAAAACAAAGAAAAACCATCTAAAAACACCAGGGACAAAACACACTACCTGTAAATCTATAACACCTGGAAAATAACATATTTAATACTACTACACATGGAAAAGCAGGACATTTGGACAAACAAAAAAAACAACACACCTGGGAAACCACAAAACCTAAAAACCTTAACAACTGGAAACAAAATAAGCATTAAAACTATAACACTTGGAAACCCATAACAACTGGACAGACAAACAAAAGACACATAAAAACCAACACACCTGGACCAACATTATATATATTATATATTGGAAGGTGGACTGGTAGCTGAAGAGGTGCCAGTCCACCTCCTGGGCACTGCTGAGGTGCCCTTGAGCAAGGCACTGAACCCATCAATTGCTCGCAAGGCACTTCTCCGGGGCTGCCCATCACTCCACCATCTCTCTCCACATTTGCATGTCTGTGAGCCCTTTGTGTGTGTGTGGGATTGTGTTTCAGGGTGAAAAAATGCATGTACAAAAACGAGTGTAAAACGAATTTCCCCTTGAGGGATCAATAAAGTATCTGTTCTGTTCTGTTCTTATTTATTTTGTGATGAAGCGGCTTTTCAAAGTCTGAGGAACAAGTGCGGAACCTTAAACACTCCCTCCTTATTTCTTCATTTCAAAAATGTTGAATTATTTCCAGGTTTTCACGTGAAACTATAAAATATGAGTAATTAAGTATCAAGAGGCTCTGAGCTGTGATCCCTTTTTCTTCTCTTTTTCAGTCACAGCGGCCTCTAGCGGCTCCAGGCCGCACGTCAATGCGAGGGCGTGTGCCCAACCAACGCTGCTCACCGGCTGACGTCACGCGGCTGTGACTGTCGGAGGGGGCGTGGCTTTGTTCTGCTGCAGCGGAGAAATATGACATGGGGATGAGCGAGAGAGAGAGAGAGAGAGAGAGAGAGAGAGAGAGAGAGAGAGAGAGAGAGAGAGGGGGAGAGGAATTAACGGTTCGTCAGAGGTCTGGACTGAAAACGCTACGATGGGGAGCAATGAGTGAAAACACCACGGTAAGACACTGAGCTGCTTTTATAAACACACTTATTTATTGCATTTCCCCACGCACGTACACACACGACAGGCCGATGCATGGCTCAGTGGACAGTGAACACAATAGGCTGCCGCTGCAGACAGGTGCACCTGCCTCTCTGTGCGTGTACGTGCCTCGATGCAATTCAACTTCAGCTTCCGTGCGAAAACCTGTGATTTAGGTCGAAGGCAAAGAAAACATCCAGGCCACAAATCATCTCATCGACGGTTTCTGCTGAGACGTGAGCAGTGTCACATGTTATATGCTGTAAACATGGATGTGCTCTAGTATCTGTGTGCTTAGTCACAGACCTTTGTGATGTAGTATATATATATATATATATATATATGATGTGATGGTAGCATATCCCAACAAAATGTTCCTTTAGCTTATTGAGGCTGTGAGGGCTGTAGTTCTTTTTACTGATATGGAATATTAATCATCACAGAGTATTTCGGGCCAGATGGTTTCACATGTAGCTGGAGAGGAAATCATGCATGTTTGAGTAAATCTCAGCAGTGTCTCTATCACCTATACGTCCATGATCAAATGTAGGAAGCCTTACAAAAGCCTCTGTCCGATTTCATTTTTTATTGCTGGCCTGGTTCACAGTATCTCCCTATTGTGTTTGTGTTGCAAAGGCTCTGACTCCAGCCTTATTGACATCGACATAATAAATCCTTGAATGTGTCAGACATATCAGCTTATATTTGATCTGGGTATAACACTAGTGAGGTCTCTCTCGGTTTCTTTTGGGTCATTTGTTGGTCATTTATAACAAATCAGCCTGTTTGCTGTGTTACCCACACAACTTATTCACTCCACCTATTGCCCCTGTCTAAAGTCTTTGCTTAGGTCTTTGAGATGGGCAGCCGACAGTTGTCGAGTCTAATTTGGAGACGGCTCCAATAGACAGGGCAGAGCTACAAAGCAGGGCCCGTGGCTGCCAGGCCCCTGGCATGGCCTGGATGGGCCAAGCCATGCCAGCTCCACAGAGGGCTCCGGTGCAGAAAGGCACTGGGGAGAGGGCGCTTGGCACCTGATCAGTTACCACAGTGAATTCTGTTCCTGTCACTGGCATTTAGCTGCAGAAAAGCAGAGCAGAGATGACGGTTGTTGTTGAACTCAGTTGGGCTTTCATGTCACTGCAGCAGTGCCGCTTTATTGAAGTATTTTCAACTGATGCAAAATGACAATCCTTTGCAAACATCTGTGCAATTGCAGAGAAATTACCCTCATTATCATTCATTGGAAAAAAAAGAAAAGGAAAAAAAAAAAGCGTAATCGAAACATTTTCCGTTTACATTTCTTCACATATTGCACCAGGGCAATGTGCTTTTCCACTGATGCATTACTCAAAGAAATATCGATTTAAATCACCCCGATCCTGAAATGCACCTGTGAAGGGGGCTTAAATCTCCTATTTCCTTTCAAAAGAATTCCACATCTCCATGCCTGATTCCCCAAAAGTTTAGTCCTTCAGAGGAGGTGAAATGAGTCAAGTGCCCGTGGTAATCATGGCCCAATCACTGCAGGGCTTTGAAGTTGGCCCTGTTCCTCAGACATCTCTACAGGTGGGGAAGCAATGTCAAGTGTTCTGTCTGCAGGCGGAGGGAGGTCAGCTAGAGGCCATGGAGGCAGGCAGAGGGGCTCCTCCACATCATATTAGACGAAGGTGGAGGGCGACAGGTCACCTTCCCAGAGTCACTGCACTGTGGTGGTCACAGGCATTGAGCAAACCCATTCCTAAATTTGCGTTTGAATGGAAATATGAAACTGCACCTCCAAATCACAGACAAATGTAGTTGTAAACCTTGCACCATAAAGATGTAATAAAACCTTACACCAGTATTCCCTTTCAGGCTGCAGCCGCAGACACGCTTTACACATTGACTGCAAAAACCATCCAACAATGATTTATGGACTTTTTTATAGTAAAGCTGGATTTGTGTGTGTTTATCTGCAAGGCTTAAGCTTGTGTTTCGATTCGTCTTATTTTGATACGTGGGTTGCAGGAGAGGAACATAGGGGATCTCCCTGTGGCTTGTGACCATATAGTCTTATTTGGATGACTAGACATTACCTGGCTCATATTGAAGCTAGAGAACCTGTGTTATAATCTGGATGGGCAGAAAGACATTTGGAAACGATGACCCACAAGCTCACAACATCTTGCTGATTGGATCTTTTCAATAACGACGTGCCTTAGTTGATTTGTCAGGTTCCTATCACATGACCCCAATCATCAATAGCCTCTGCAACCAGTGTCAAAGCAACATGGATATTCAACTACAAGTTGCGGACCCCGCTGTTATTCTTTCCATATACCCTAACACCAAACAACCTGTGTATGTGTAAGTGTATGTGTAAGTGTAGATGAGTGGTCATTGGATATGCGACAGAGATTGTTTGGATATAGGAAGGCTGAGGTGGGATAAAGAGGAGGCAACCAGTGTGGCCAGTGTGGCCAAGTGTGAGAGGCTGCAACATGTGTCAATCATTAAACAATAGCAAAAAAGACCTTTAATACTGTTCTAATGAAAGGAATGTTTTTTAATACAGTTGTCTTAAAACAAACATCTCACATTCATCCGATGAAATCTGTTTAAAGCCTTCAGCATAACAGCTGCTGTTGGATTTCAGATGTTGATGATGAACCTCTCAGAGCCCAGTCTGATCATCCTCATCTGATACTTGAAGATAAAGTTGTTGCATCCAGATGCTGAGGCAGACACATACCAGTGTAACACACAACTGAAAACCATTGGACTATAATTTAAATCTCATGATTGTGCTTTGCTATTCTTGAGCAGCTTTAATATCATATGTGAAGATTTGCTCTTGAAAACAATATCAAATGATATTGAGACTGAATTAATGTAAAAACGATTGTCATCGATATTGATGTCATCAGAATCAGAAATACTTTATTGATCCCAATAAAGTATTAATAATGTGTGACCATTATTTTTAATATAACATTTATCAGGAAACACCAGTCCTGAATTTAACAATATTGGTGAGTTTTAACAAAAGTTGGTGCTTGTTGGATATATAAACCATTTCAGTTATTATAGTTGCATACATAGTCTGATATTGAAGTTTCATCACCAATGAGAAAGTGTTATTGAAGTTAAGAGTGTGATGTTCCAATACCAGTGTTGGATATGCCTGCGATACTGATAAAATATTTGTTTGGGTATCGGTCAGTTCGCAAATCTATGCAAAGATCTGATAACACGTCATTAAACTATATTCATTCACCAAGATAAAACCAGAAATCTCTTCTTCCTCACTGCTCCCAAACAGCAGTTGCACAGTATAGCACAGCCACTGGTACTGTTTACAGAGCAGGAAGTCATAGCTGTACTGTAAGTTGGAACTAGCTACAATGTTAGCAATTTGGCAATATTTCACTCTGGAAAGTGCTTCAAGAAAAACAACAACAAAAGACTTCAGTTTCAAGATATTTAAAGGAACTCATTGTTGTGTATACCTTGATTTATTTTGTTCTTTCTCATATATCTGTGTTCTTTTTTAGTAATGACTGTCAAGCTAGATACTAAAAAAACTTCATTCATTTCATTCAATTCATTCTCTGTATGAATTTTCTTTTC